CACCAGCAATCAACAGCCAATTATTGCACAACTATATTCTACCCACCTCAAGACTCCGCTCCAATATAGAAGCATCAAGAAATATGGACCAATAGGCTTTCTACAAACACTTCTATTCAGTACCCATTGTTTGTGTTCTGTCTTGTGTTGATACTTTTAATACCCTATTAATGTCCCCTCTTGTTCTGTCTTGTGTTAATGCCACATCACCCCTCCCACCTCACTCAAATGTAGATATAAAATTGGAGATACGTAAGTTCTAATCAGTTGTGTATTTGTGAACTAAAGTCTTTGAAAATGTAATAAGTTTTACGAAACGCGCCCGTGTCGCGTCAGACTAGAAATAAAAATGAATTTTGGAGAATTGATTTTTTATTTACCTCCAACAGTGAAGCGTAATGTACGAAAGATTGAGAAAATTCGTGTTAGAATTATTAATCTTACTTTTTCGGTCATATTTAATAATATATATATTATTTATATATATATTATATATATAATTATATAGGTCATATGTTTTTGTATTTTTGCTGATTTGTTAGTAAATAATAAAAGAAATATAAATTATTTGATTTTTTTACCCTTAAATTGGTTTTAATATTTAAATTGAAAACAATAATATAATATAAAAAAATATTAGAAAAATAATCATACATTATAAAATAAAATATAATAAAAATAATATAATATAATATAAAATAATATAATTTAATTTCAAGAAATTTAACTTTAAACACAAAGATGTGAAAAGGGTTCAGATAAGGCTCAAACCTTTCACAAGAGATTCATATTGGTGTATGAATGGATTATGAATGACTCATGTTAGGAGTGTAAAGTTGCCACAACATCTCAAATTAGTGTTAGATACATATGTCTTGGTTATAAGTTTTGGAAACCTATTTAAGTCCACACACAATATCGTATCTGATACGATAAAACAAACGTTTCCAATCCTTTCAAATACTTTCCAGATATGTTGTGGCAACCTAAAATTGTTTGCTGGGAATATATCAGATGTTGCAGTGGATGTAGTTGTTGTTGTTGTTGTTGATGTAGTGTCACTAGTTGTAATAATTGCATTAGTATCACTAGTTATATCAGAAGGAAAATATGATAAAAGTGGCTTTGTAGTCATATTCCACGACATTGTTTTCTTATTTTTTAAAAATTAATTAAATTGTTATTAAATTGTTTTTTTATTGGTCTTTGAAGGTAACAATTGGTAACATGGGATGCCCGAATAATGTGGAAGGATCATGTTTTATTACTTCTTCAATGAAATGTTTGTTAGAGTGTCGCATTTTCTCAGTGGGAAGTATATTTTTATCAAGTAAACATTTTAAATGAATCATGGCATGAACAATAATAACACAGACGTTAAGAGCTGACATTCCCATTCCATTTAGACTAGTGTTGAACATTTCTCCATTAAACATATTTACAAATGTATTATATAAAATACGATGGGAACCTAACACCTTATATCGTTTATCAACTCCAGACATAACCAAACTATAAGCATCTAGGCCACTTACAAGAGACCGATCATTATCCTTGTATATATAATTTTTATCATCATCTGTTTTTGTTTTATATATGTTTATTAATTCATTTATTGAATAAAAAATATACACATTATTAGTAGTATTGTCCAAATAAAGATTAATATACTCACAATCTTGAGGATAGAGGAGTTTACCATTTTGATCTGTATCACCTTCTAACGCCAAATTCAAAATTTCCTTATTTACTTCTAATACATTTTCCTTATAGTCGATAAAATGATAATTTAGTGGGGGTGATCTTAAATTTTTTTGAATTTCAAACCAACCCTCAAACAAATATTGATCAGCAGCTCCAAACAAATTTTCAATTGTACTAGGCATAAGTTGCTGAGCCACATGTCCCATAAATCTAATCCAGTTATGATAAACTTTATTTATAATAAATTGAGCACTTTCATGTGTATAAATTAAAGCTGTTATTGGTTCAGCTTTAATGATGTTACTCTTACCTAAACACTCCTCAATATACTGTAAACGTCTTTCAACTCTAGCTATTCGCGTTCTTTCCTCTAAATCATAATCATCAATATAAACATCCCTATTAAAGTTATTTTTCTCGTTTTTAATGTGACCATCTCGGTTTACACGATATGCGTCACTAGAGGGTAAGAGTCCACCTGCTGTTTTGACAAATGGTATGCGGTGTCGTCGTTGTTGTTGAGATTTTCTTCTATTTTGTTCACTTTTTCTTTCACTAGTTGTTCTTGGTGTTGGTGTTGGTGTTGGTTTAGATTCTGTTGCTGTTGTTGCAGCTGTTTGTTTTTTTCTAATTTTATTATTAGATTCTTCATTTTCACTGGGACTGTAAATTCCTCCTTTTGATGGGAAATAGGCCATTGAGACAAAATTTTAAGTTTTTTCTTTTTCCTCTTTCTCTTTTTTTAAAGAGATTATTATTATTATTATTCATTTTTAACTATAAAGAAAACCTTAAGAGTGAAAATAATATCTAGGAATAAATTGAAATTCAAAAGAAGTGGTTTCACGTGATATTTTGCAAATACATCAGGAGACAGCAATGTACAGTATTATGTATTATAACAAAGAGATACTAAACTAATTTAGTTAAAAGTGATGAGGGTTTTATATCAGGTCTTTTGGTTGTTATATTTTTTTTTTATTAGTGATAAAATATTTTACAAGTTTATATGAGCCTGTTTCCAACACAAGATATAAATATTATTTTTAAAATTATTTCAGAACTACAACAGAAGGTGTTCACCTGCTGAAACCTCATGCGTGTACTGAGGTAAGTACAATTCAACCCTTCCTCCTCCTCCTCCTCCTCTTTCTCCTACCATCAGGTCAGCACAGGTGGTGTAAGAGCAGCATGATTGAAGTTGGTCTTTGGAGCGCCGCTACTCTGTGATAACTCAAGGAGGTGACAGTCTTTACTGAGCCTCCATTCTCCACCTCGAGAGTGATGGTCTCCACCTCGAGAGTGCTGGTCTTTGCCTCGGGAGTGCTGGTCTTTACTGAACCTCCATTCTCTGCCTCGGGAGTGCTGGTCTTTACTGCGCCTCCATTCTCCGCCTCGGGAGTGCTGGTCTTTACTGCGCCTCCATTCTCTGCCTCGGGAGTGCTGGTCTTTACTGCGCCTCCATTCTCCGCCTCGGGAGTGCTGGTCTTTACTGCGCCTCCATTCTCTGCCTCGGGAGTGCTTGTCTTTACTGCGCCTCCATTCTGTGCCTCAGGAGTGCTGGTCTTTGCTGCGTCTGCTGCGCTGTTGCTCTGTGCCTCGGGAGTGCTGGTCTTTGCTGCGCCTGCTGCGCTGTCGCTCTGTGCCTCGGAAGTGTTGTCGCTCTGTGCCCTGGGAGTGTTGGTCTTTGCTGCGCCTGCTGCGCTGTCGCTCTGTGCCTCGGGAGTGTTGGTCTTTGCTACACCGATGTTCTGTGCCTCGGGAGTGCTGGTCTTTGCTACACCGATGTTCTGTGCCTCGGGAGTGCTGGTCTTTACTGCGCCTGCTGCACCTGCACCGGCGCTCTGTGCCTCGGGACTGCTGGTCTTTGCTGCACCGATGTTCTGTGCCTCGGGAGTGCTGGTCTTTGCTGCGCCTACTGCACCTGCACCGGCGCTCTGTGCCTCGGGAGTGTTGGTCCTTGCTGTCCCCTTCGAATTGTAATCTCATATCAAATCGTACCACATTTACCTTATAAGATGACAAAAAAAAAAAAAAAAAATGAACATCATTTATTATATTGTATTGTATTCACAACATAGTTTTACATAACATATTGGATAAAATATAATAACTTGAATAGTCATCCTTTGACTGAAGAAGACAAATCACAATCTTATGACAAATCACAATGTTATGAAAATTTGTAATGAGGAGTCTCAGATGATGATATAGAGTTATTTTTTTTTTTTTTTTACCTCATCCATGACTAGAGGTTCCTGTTCCCCCATTTGTAGAAAAGTTTCTGTTCCAGCACTGAAACTCTGAGTGTCCATAAAGATTAATGATATCTGTTGAAATGAAAAACTATATGTTTTAATAATACTTTTTACACTTTTTATATATATATATAGTATATATATATATGAGCTCCAAGCGAGGTCTCTTCCCTTCACAGTGGAGAACTAATATAAGGAATATAAGGTTGTGGGTTGTCTTATATATCATACATGGTCATGTACCCAATAATTTTCAATTTTATAATTTTCTTCTATCTGACTTTGGGGAAGTTCAAGTTATTGTGGATGAGGAAAAAGAGAGAATGAGAGAGAGAGAGAGAGAGAGAGAGAGAGAGAGAGAGAGAGAGAGAGAGAGAGAGAGAGAGAGAGAGAGAGAGAGAGAGAGAGAGAGAGAGAGAGAGAGAGAGAGAGAGAGAGAGAGAGGGAGGAGGGAGAGAGAGAGAGGGAGGGAGGGAGGGAGAGAGAGAGAGAGAGAGAGAGAGAGAGAGAGAGAGAGAGAGAGAGAGAGAGAGAGAGAGAGAGAGAGAGAGAGAGAGAGAGAGAGAGAGAGAGAGAGAGAGAGAGAGAGAGAGAGAGAGAGAGAGAGAGAGAAGAGAGAGAGAGAGAGAGAGAGAGAGAGAGAGAGAGAGAGAGAGAGAGAGAGAGAGAGACTGTATACACCTGCAGGGACAATGATATCTAAACCAGCAACGTATCACCTTCTTCTGCTGGAAATTCTTCACATATTTTTATCCATCCACTAGCTCTCATGACAAATGGTGCAACTACTTCACTGGCATATTTGCTCATAAATGTTGCTATTTTTTCGCTCAAGTCCTCCATATTTTTGTCTTTGCAATACAAAGCCATCTGTCCACCAAAAGCATATAGTGCAATTATCCTGCCCCAAGTAATAGCCATCTTTTCACCTTCAAATAGTTCATTGAAAACTCCAACAAATGTCACATATCCAGTGTCATGAGTGATGTCCAATTTTTTAAATATTCCCTTAAATTGTTTTTCGTGACTGTGCACCATCGTCTTGATTCATCTGAGGAGTGTTTCTTCAACTTTATCATTAGTTGTCGCCTTTGTCTTCTCCATCAGTGAAAACACAATATACTTGGCTAAACTCTCCGCCTTATTCTCCACGCTCTCTCCTTTCAGTGAAACTTCGGCAATATTAGCTTCATTCTGGTTACATCTTTCTACATTAGGCTCCTGTGTGTGATTACCTCTAATCATGGACAATGATAGTTGTCGTCACCCTGCACCAAAATCATATACAATAAGTTAGGATATAGCTTCTCTCTCTATATATATAATACATTTAACAAAAAAAAAGAGTGTCAAATTTTTTCCATAAATTACAACATAAACAAATAATGATTACCCGAAAAATAGTGTACCTGTCTATGCTTAGAAGTGACTGGCACTATATTATTGACTTCCATCCAGTCAGCTGCTTCCAGCTGCCGTGATGTCAACAGATGGGAGCAGTCAGTAGAGAATCCACCATTTGTATAAGGAGAAGGATTATGGGGAAATTTATTTTCTCTGTTTATTACTTCAGCCAACAACATATCCTTCAACATCGATCTTAACAGACGTCTGGAATACACCATCATACAGAGTCGTCTCTCGACACCAACCAAAAATTTGGGTATCAGGAAAATAAACATGACTACAGTCGAACACTATGGTAGTAACTCACAGGCACCTTGTGTGTACGTCGCATTGAATCAGTACTGGAAAAGAGTGGTAAAAGATATTACCACTTTTTAATATAATATCATAATGATCTTTTAAGAGGAAATGACGTCATAACATTCTGACAGTATATGTCATAACATTCTGACAGTATATATATTAGTGAATGTAACTCTTAGGCTGTTCATTTGTGCTAATTCACATGGAGAACAAAGAGGCTGGGGCCAAGATAAGCCCTCGTTACCTCCAGTTTAACAGTGAAATAGGGAAAAGTATTAAACTTTAAAACGTTGGAATTTTGTAGGCTCGTAACGTTAGAACATTTCGTCTATTGGTGGAAAAGAGAATTGCTTGTGGAGCCATACCTTCTGATGGACGATCATGAGGATGCTCTGACTTATAATGTGGGATACCTCCTGAATGACAATCAGTTGAGGATGCTCTGACTTATAATGTGGGATACCTCCTGAATGACAATCAGTTGAGGATGCTCTGACTTATAATGTGGGATACCTCCTAAAGGACAATCAGTTGAGGATGCTCTGACTGTCATACTGAAGCGTATGGATACCAATGATAATGCATGATAACATTCATTAAGTTATCTTCTCAGCTCATTACCACCAACTTTTTCACCAGAAAAATGGATAGAATTGAAATATCTATTCCCATAAATGTAAAGGTTCAAGCTTATCATCTTCTTTCCTCACAAATTGTAAGTATTAGTTATCATTCTCTTTCATTATTATATGTCGTACCTAGTAGTCTTTATGGGTTAATTTAGGTTAGGTAGCCGAAAATTTTAATAATATTTATGAAAATACATTGAAATTTTTTTTACAGGCTGAAGGAAGGATGGATGTTATTCTACATTTACCTTCTACTCTCCCTGACGTTTTTACCCAATTATCATATAATATACTGATGATTGATACTTCAATTTCAATGAGTGTTTATTGGTCAGCATTAATGAACCAATGGAATAAGTATATGGCTCCTATTTTAGAGAAGTGTGGAAATGAAACTGTTAGGTATACCTTTAATGATGTTATTGAGAAAAAGGGATGTAGCCCACAGATTCAAAAAAGTGATTTTAGAAATAATTCTACTGATTTAATCGGAGCATTAAAGAAAATTCAAGAGGAAATTGAAAGTTGTCAATCAAAAGATATTAAAGTGTTTTTTATCACTGATGGTTTACATAGTGTATCAAGAGATAAGGCTGAAACTCAACTTGAAAAAATGAAATGTCCTGTTGGAAAAAAGTGTGAATTTTTTGTGTTAGGAATTGGAAAAGAATATCCAGTTAAACAGAGTTTATTTTTACAAGCACAACTTAATACTGGAAATACAATACCAAATTTATTTCAAGTACTTGAAATGGATGATATGGAAGATGTAATGAAGAATATAAGTAGTCATTGCAGTTCTGTAAAAATACGTTTATCTGTAGAAGGCTCTTTATTGCCTGGTGGAAGATTAGAAAGTGAATTTTATCTTGATGAGTATGTTTATCTTAAACAATATAATGGTGAAAAAATATACATGTTTACAAATAGCAAAACTGAATATATCCTTCATTTACAATTTCAAGATTTAAATGTAAAAATAATGGATCAACTGATTACACAATGGAATCGGAGAATAATTCAAATTTATAACAAAGATAAACAAATTTTTTTTTTGAGAGAGAGATTATTAACCTAGAAAAGAAAATTTGTGATGAACTATTTCTAAGGATTATGAACATAAAAGATGTAAGAGGTAATTTTACTGGGCGTTTTAAGGGAGTTTACACCAATATTGAAACTAATCTCAGGGAAAAAATCAATGGAATAAAGAAACTTATTGAGGAAGGACAATATCTTAAAGAAATGGAATTAGCTGGTGTAGTTTTGAACTCAATAACAGTATCAAGTCACTACTATTCAAAGAAGGCCTATCAACTAAAAGGATACACTGGCAATGACTTTAAAAAGGATATAGATGATTTTGTGAAAATATTTGAAAAAGTAAAACACCATATTCTTGCATTACAAGTTTTACCTGAAAATTGTTGTAGGATTTCTCTCACTTCAACAGTCAGTGATTTACAAGAACCAAAATTTCTAACACTGTTAAATTCAGTCAATAAATTCCAGTTATCGACTGTTTGGAACATAACAGGCATTCCTGTACTTTTTCGTAACTTAAACTGTACAGTCTTAAATATTTGGTCATATAATATTATTCAAATTGTTGAAGCCCCCTTTGATTTAATTGGAGTGACAGCCCTTGTGGATTTTGTTAACATATATGGGGAAGTTGGTCATAAATACAATGAAATTGAAATTATTAATGGTAAACAAGAAACTTGCTTTAATGCTATTATACCAATTTTCACACCTGAGGAGGCTCATGTTATGGGATCACTGATGAAAACTAACCTTTTTGCTAAAATGATGACTTTTGCAGTTTTGAAGAATCCGATTATTAAGGATCACAATGCTCATCTAGGATCATTAGCTGTCTTGTTGATAAAACTCTTTGAGAAGTATCCAATTAAAAGCCGACCCAAGTATGTTTGTAGAATAATTAATAGTATTCAAGCTAATGTTGTTAATGGATACATGAAACGATGGAAACTGAAAAAATATTGGGAGATTTTGAAAAGTGAAAATAATATAAATCAACCATTAATGGCAGAGAGTATTTTAAAATTTGATGGAATATCTCTTAAGTGTGAAACGCTAATTAAACCCATGTTCATAATGTATATGATGATGAGAGATAATAACCCACAGTCCCCTCAGTATATGAAGACTTTAATAAAGAGAATCATGAAAATGATCATTTTAGAATATGTGGGCAGATGTGTTTGTAAAGGCAAATTTGAGTATCCTTACTCACATTTTTTTATCACCTCTGATAAATATAAGAAAGAAAAGCAGAAATGTTTGGAACATAATGTTGAAGAATCTGAATATAATATAGAAAATTATTATACATTACATGAAGTTCGAAAAGCTTTAAACATTTAGATGTGGCCAAACTTTGTCCAGCCAATATTTTTCCTTTAAAGGAAATACAAATAAATGGTGAGAAAATTGCAGCCCTGTATTCATGGTCTCATGCAGGAGATTTGTCTTTAAAAACTTTGAGGATATTTGTCATAGAGATGATGAAGGAATTTGAAGAGTATGAAATCGAATTAGTATTGAATGAGTTGTTTAATGACATTTTTTTTTTAAATGTTTGTATCATGCTTTGAAGTTTCCAAGCTCTCGTGAAAGACTAAAAAAATTTGAGCAAATTGAGGACTATGATAAATGTCAATTTAATATCAGAAATGAGATGATTAGAGAAGTCATAGAGAAATGGAATCTCAGAGATATTTATAAAAAGAAAGTGGAAAAAAATTGGGTGATGTCATACATGAAAGTTCACCAAGAAATATTGAATCCAATGACACCTAAGGAAATAATGGATAAAGTCCATCAGATGGGATTGTTTAATTGTGAGAAAACATCATTCCATGATATATATATATTCAGATATGATGTTAAAATCTTAACAAATGCTTGTCAGATATCCACTTGCCCCTATTATCTAATTCCCAGTAAGAATTGTGGTTAACATTTATTTATAGAACGATCCCAAATGGGCGAGGCCTTTCCTCATGCTCTTCACAAAACAGCTCACAAGACTAAATATAGTATTAAAAAAGGTCTTGAAGAATTTCAGAATGGAACATATACGAAAAAAGGAAAGAAATTATTAGATTCAACATATAAAGAATACAAAAAACATTTGATACAATTACAAAATATATATAAACATGATTGATACGTGGTAGGGGGATTGTATATTAAACTGATGATTTAGGTTTTTTTAGAATCAAATTAAAGAAATTAGTTCCTACTGGCGGTGGGAGATTAGTTGTAAGACGTGATACAAAGGAACTCATATCATCTCGAAGTAAATCTGAACGTTCAGTGGCCATAATTTGACGTTTAACATCCTCAAAACTTGTCGCAGAAATAATATTAGCGGGAAATTTATTTCCTCTGCGATTTATGGAATTAATTGAGGCATTAGATAACACCGTTAATTGGAGAAGTAATGCAGAATAATTTATATTAATGTTTTCAAAGCGTCTAAATATATGATGTAAATTAATTAAACTACATAGTTGACCAAGATGTTTATTAACCCCTCTAATATCTGTAGAATATATTAGAGAGATATTGGGGTTGGCAATCTGTAGATGAACAGCATCAATTAACCACCCGGGACAATTGTTGAAGATCGGATGATTATCACAGGTTCCGTATCGTTTGATTTTATCT